ACATCACAACCACACATACACATACACATACACATACACATACACATACACATACACATACACATACACATACACATACACATACACATACACATACACATACACATACACATACACATACACATACACATACACATACACATACACATACACATACACAAATTTCAGCATGTGTCTCGCAGTCTGCCTTCTTAGGGCTACTAATCTCTTCTGCACTGTAGCAAGTTGGTTCGACAGTTGGTGCTTTGCATTCTTACATGTCGATCCTCCCAACCCCACTCCCACTCCCACCCCACTACGTGTACTTGCACTTGGCTGGCCAGCACCCTGTCAGCGACCTGAGCGATGTGGAGGGGGAGGAGGATGGCGAGGAGGCACGCGAGCGCATGGCGTGGACTGCCGTACAGGCCGACGGGTCACACCAATCATTACCGCAGGGTGGTGCAGCAGCCAGCGGCGGTGGCGGCGGCAGTGGCGGCGGCGGCGGCGGCGGCGGCGGCTTCCGGTACATGAGCATCCCGGGGGGTGCTGCAGCAGCCGCCGCCGGCGGCGGTAACTTCGGCAGGCAATTCCGGATCCTTCGCCGTATTTTGGATCCCGATCTGGCGCTGTGCCGCTCAAATGCCGTGGACGCCATGCGGTACGGCAGAACGATTTCCCGGACGGATGGTGGTGTTGATGGTGGATGGATGGATGGAGTGGGATGGGGGTGGTGTGCGTCTACTATTAGGAAAAGGAAAAACTCTGGACTGAGGGCATGATGCATGCTGTGGTATGTTTGCCCTTGGGGTGTATCGCGCGGGGCATGTTCTGGGATGGCGAAGTGGTTTTATGTTATTTGTACACACAGGCACACACACATACATACGCACAAACCTCCCCCGAGTGTCGTCCAGGTTTTTCCGCCTTCCAGCTGTTTCACGACGACGACGACGACGATGACGTCACCATTAGCTTTTTGTCGTTAGCGTTTAATGTTATCTTCGTCGTTGCTTGACGCGCTGCGTGTGATCTGTGCGGCCTCACAAGGGCCGTAAACCGAAAAAAAAACCCGCAAACCCTCGTTATTCCACACATGCTGGCAGGTGATGGCATCCAGGTCGGTCGTGTTTTCCCTACCGCCACTTCGCCCCTCGTACCCCCCCCCACCACCTTGTTCCCTCACTGCCCTGGTTCCCCCCCTTCGTACGACAGGTCCCAGCGTGCGATAAAGCTCAGCCGGACTGCGCAGCGGAAGGTGAAAAAGGCGAAGAAGGCGAAGAAGCAGGGGGCCCTTGCCGCAGTAGCGGAAGCGGCAGCAACGGAGGCGGCGGAGGCGGCGGTGGCGGCGGTGGATCAGTACGGCGGAAACGGGAGCGCTCATGGCGGTGGTGGTGGTAGTGGTGCGGATGGTGATGGAAAGAAGACGAAGAAGAAGAAGAAGAAAAAGTCGGGCATGAAGGAGAAGATTGAGCGGTTGGGGGTACGGAAGCAGCGGATTTTGGCCGCCAAAGCTACT